GATATGACTCATTATTTTTTTAAGTAGATCTTATTTAGTTATGCATGTTTTGTGATGCATCAAATTATGGTATAATCTATATTTTGTTTTTTCTCATAATTCAGAATTTTTAGAACTTTTTGAAGTTCATAAATATGTTTTAGTTATACATGCCGGTGAAGTGATATATGATGAAATAGTATATAATGTCACTTTCTTTCAATAATTGTTCATATATGTTTGAATAACACGTAAAGGGTCTCAACAAAACTTAAATGAATATAATTTTACAAGTTAAAATATAGTCAACATGTGTCTTAAATTATAATTGTGATTTTAATCATAAATAACACAATGGTATAAATAGATAAGAAATTGAACATATATAATATGTATTTAGAAGTATGCTTATTTAAAGTTTATTGTTGCAAAAGCTTTCATAAAGAGAGAATTGGAGGGAAAAAATGTAGAGGATTTCCTAAAAGAAAACGGAGAGGAGGATGGTCGTCTTTTTTATAAGGATCAGAAAAAATAAGTCTAATCTAATGCCTTGAAGTGTTATGCCCACTAATTTTAATAAAATAATTAAAGGGTAGATGTTTATTTTTCAGGATATAAGATTTAGATGTTACAAATGTTGAAAATTTTTAATCGAATTCCCCCGGTTAGCTAATATAGGAAAAATGAATTATACGTAGAGGGGAGGGAGAGAGGGGGGAGAGGGCGAACGTAACGCCTGAGGGGAGAGGTGGGGAAGGTACCTGGTCTTTCTTTCCATCTCTCTGTTTATATGAGATTAAATCTGACGGTTAAAATAATGGGCCGTGAAAGTGGATGGTTAGATGTTCTTTGATTTATGGTATTTTTTAATTTATTAGAGTGCCACGTGGTGGTTTAGGAGAGCATTTATAGAAAGTATAATGGACTTTTAGTTATTAGTATATAATAGATAGATAGATTTGTTAGAGTGCCACGTGGCGGCTTAGGAGCGTTTGTAGATGCCACATGGCGATTTAGGAGCGTTTGTATGAAGTTTAATGGACTTATAGTATATAATAGATAGATTGAAGATTTTTTTTATCGGTATTTTGGTACGTTATCCGTGTTTGAGTCGGTTTTTAAGTTAGTTTGCTTGGGAAATACAGATCCGTGTTTGAGTCGGTTCGTTCGCTTTTGGAAATACATATCCGTGTTTGAGTTGGATTTTAAGTTGGATTTTAAACTCGTTCGCTTTTGGAAATACAAAAGGAGTTTATAAAAAATCTCTTTTAAAAAACTCTGCATGCTAAGTTGAGATGAAAGTTAGACTCCTAATTGCAACTCATGATTTTCTAATATATATATTTAAGCGAATTTCACACAAAATTTTACCCGTATAACAACAATAAAATTAAAATAGCATTCACCCATTGCAACGCACGACCATTTTTCTAGTATAATTAAATAGAACAGGCCATGCATCAGAATTATGAGAAACATGCAAACAGCTTGTAATTAATAATCTGGAAAATATATTTTTTCCATCTTGTAATTTTCTAGTTCATTTATTTGGATATTAGGAGAAAACTCCAAAAAGAGCCTAATTAAATTCTAGCACAAGCCAGAACCCAGCTGATCCGTCACGAGCTTTCGGATCGGTAGCAGTCCAAAATTTTCTGTATCATATCAAAGTTATATAGTACAGCAGGTATAGCCGTATGGCCCGTATATGGTATACCAGCTTCCATAACGATGAAGCTTACATAATTGTTTCTAGTTGATGGGCCTGTTTGGGAAGCTTTAGATTCTGAGAAGCAGCTGTTTGCTAGTCAGCTCATGAGAATTTGGAAAAGCTCTGAAACCTAGCTTCTCCAGCTTCTGGCTTCTTACTTCATTTTTCAGAATCTGTAACTACAGATTTTCAGAAGCTGTGGACTGTTTAGGACAGCTTCTAGCAGAAGCAAAAGCTGCAGCTGAGACAAACTCCCCCAAACAGTGCCGATGTCCCACATGCATGGCAGGTGTGCGTACGGGCATGCCGTTATCAAAGACATCACACTGGTAGAGAAAACATCTTTGGTCGGTCGACCCAAATCCACAATAGTCCCGGTTCCATTAAAAACCGGGACTAAAAATGATTTTTAGTCCCGGTTAATAAGAGGAAGATCTTTAGTCCCGGTTGTTGTTAACAACCGGGACTAAAAATCATCTTTAGTCCCGGTTGGAGTCACCAACCGGGACTAAAGTTCATTTTTAGTCCCGGTTGATTCCATGTCAGGCCGTGTCAGGGCCCTATGATCTTTAGTCCCGGTTGGTAACACCAACCGGGACTAAAAACCCGGTTGGTGTTACTAACCGGGAATAAAAATCAAAACACACTATATAATCCATAGTACCGATTCTATTTTCCCGTCCACACAACAAACTCCTCCCTCTGTCTCTTTCTTTTTTTCCTCTCTAGCTTCTTATCTCTTTCCTTATCTCTAACTCCCCTCCTCTCCTTCCTTTTTTTTTCCTTCACCCACAGTGCAGGCGGCGACGTAGGGGACGGCGCGGAGGCGGCCTGCGCGGCGGCGGCGGCGGCGTGGGGGTCCGCGCGGTGGCTGCGGGGGGCGGCCGGCGCGGCGGCGCCGGGGGCTGCGCGGAGGCGGCAGTGCGGGCGGCGGCGCAGTGGCGCGGCGCCGGCCGGCCGGCGCGGAGGGGAGGAGGGGAGGCGGCAGTGGCCGCCAGCTGGATTTTTTCTTTTTTTTTTTTTTTGAGATGTGAATCTGTGATGAATTTTTTTAGAACCCTGTGATGTAATTTTTTTAAGAGTTTGTGATGTATTTGGAGATGATTTGTTTGAGGATTTGAGGATTTGGAGATGTTCTGTGGTATGTGATGATTTGGATATGGGAGGGGACGGTGTGAAATCAATATTCAATATTAAAAGCAGAAAAAAAAAAGAAAAAAAATATCTTTAGTCCCGGTTGGTGGCTCCATCTTTAGTCCCGGTTGGTAAAGATTGATTTTTAGTCCCGATTATTTGAACCGGGACTAAAGATAGCGATCTTTAGTCCCGGATTCGTAGTCCCGGTTGAAAAACCGAGACTACAGGGAGGTTACGAACCGCGACTAAAAAGCATTTCTCCACCAGTGTCAGAACGTGGTCCATGTTAAATCCCCCGGTTGGGTTATGAAGGCCTGACTCAGGGATACATAGCCCTTCTGCAGGAATAAATTCACGTTGAGTCTCTCGACTTGACGTCGAGTTTAATTCACATCTTCAAACTATAATATCATATATAACGTGTCTCTCAACTTATATACGTAACACCATTGACTTTTTATCAACTTTTGACCATTCGTCTTATTCAAAATTTTGATGCAAATATAAAAATATTTATATCATACTTAAAGAACATTTGATGATAAATCAAATCATAATAAAATAAATGATAATTACATAATTTTTTTAATAAGATGAATGGTTAAATGTTAGTCAAAAAGTCAACGGCGTTATACATTAAGATACGGAGGGAGTAACATTTTTAACCCAAGATAAATTTATTATGAAGATAGATTCAATTATTGACTTGATGAAACTAATTTAGTATTATAAATATTACTCCCTCCGTTTCGTAATGTAAGTCACTATAGCATTGTCTATATTCATATACATGTTAATGAATCTAGATTTATATATGTGTCTAGATTTATTAACATATATATGAGTGTGAGCAATGCTAGAATGACTTACATTATGAAGAAACGGAGGAAGTACTATATTTGTCTATAAATTTAGTTAAACTTGAAACAGTTTGAATTTGACCAAAGTCAAAATGTGTTATAACTTGAAATGGAGGGAGTACTCCACAGAATAATTCATCACGACCCTAATATGAAAATTCCGTCCTGTAGAAAGAGTTTTTTTTTCCGAATAGTTCAATGATTTCTTTTATAATTACAAGGATACAAATAAATTAATTAGATATTATAAAGTCAAAAGATAGATTTAAATAGTTTTTCAAGGAATTTATGTTTAGAATGTCATTTTTTTCCGAAAATCACACCGTTAAGCTTGATCGGGAAGCAAGTATGTTTATGCCCCTATTCCTTGGGGGAAGAAAAAGCCTATTAGCCGTCTTTTTTTCTTTCGCGAACACACAAAAATCTTACACGTTGAAAAGTGTGTGTCTATATATATGAAAAGTACTTCGTATATACCACCATCGGTAATACGTCGAGACGGTTACGAAGACAAGAGGGGAATAGTGCCTGTTGGGAGGAGCTTCTAGCTGCTGTAGCTTCTTCCAGAATTAGAAGTTCCCTCAAACAGTCCAACTTTAGTCCAGATTTCTAAGAAGTTGTAGTTGTAGAATATAGGAAATGAATTAGAAGACAGAAGCTGAGAAATTCAACTTTTTTAAATTCTTAGAAGCTGGCTACCAATCAGCTGTTTCTCAGAATCATAAGCTACGCTAAACAGGCCCTATGTGTCACGCAATCGCTAGAAAAACTCAATGCGCCTCTCCCCTCTCTAAAGTCTAAACTCAGTTCCGACGGTCATCGGGTCGTCATGCACGAACGACGGTGCATCAAAACGATACAGACGGCAAGATATCGAATTAATGTTAACATGGATCGATATGTCGATTCTCTAAACGTACCGGGAACGACGATCGACCACGTACGGCGGCGCGCGGAGATCGACGAGACGTACGTTGCTCGAACCGGCGCAGATCATGCATGAACTTGCACTTGGTAAATCAACGGGTCGGCCGGGAAGAATGGCGGATATATATGCACTGCAAGTTCTTCAGCATCACACCATCGCAACGACGCGACTTCCCCCCACGCGCAATCGCGTGCGCAGCGAGAGCCATTCAACGAGATTTTTTTTGTGGTAGCCGTACGTATGGCATGCACATGGATTCGATGATATGCTCGCGGCTCGCCCCTTTGTTGTCAAAGTTCCGAGGGAAAAACTCTGACGCTACGCGCAACCGAGGGCCTAGAAAAAAACTTTTTGGGCGTAGTCATGCTGAGTAAGCATGAAAGAGTAAGCGTGAGCTGACCGTGAGTACCGGTACTACTATATCTTCTGTCGCTTTCTCGAATAGGAAATTAGAAGGAAACAATTATAAGGGATTGATTAGGATTAGGATTAGAGCATTGTTCCGGTCCAGCATATTATACCAATCTAAATCCCGCCGTTCATTCTTGGAGGGTAGGATCGAAAACCTCACAAGCTAAGTCCAGCTCGTGATGCTCATTCTCTCAGACTGTGTCTCCACCACTGTGCTCAGGTGGTCGGCACCGGTGGTGCCAAGGGAGGCGTGGTCGGTGCCGGGGGCGCTGGCGGCGGGGCGTTGGACGGCGGCGTGATGGGCACCGACGGCGCCTGCGTCGGAGGCTGTTGCGCGACGGTAGAGAAGACGAGGAGTAGGAGGGGTGGTTGGTGCCGAGGGAGGTGTGGTCGGTGCCGGGGACGTCGCACGGTGTGGAGGTGCGGTGTTGGACGACAGCGCGTTGGGGGCCAGCAACGCCTGCATCGGAGGCAACGAGGAGCGCGAGAACCAGCGAGAGGAGGCGACATCGGTTGCGATGTGCTTGAATCCAACAACGAGATTAGGCCATCACCAATGCGTACCTTTGACCCGTGCCCCTAGCTCCGTCCGTTAGCTTTTCCATCCGCATCGCCCCCTCGCGATGGAACGCGTCCCTCAGCTGGGGAACGCGTCCCTCGCTCACTTTTGGCAGGGGGACTGGGCGAAGCAGCCCACTGCGTAGGTAGAGGTTCTTGAGGCGACGCACCCGATCTTTGATTTCCTCTTCCACCCCTCTCCCCTCTGTCACCGACCCATGCGTCAAGGGCAAGGCGGAGGCGCCGCTCGCCGCCGGAGAGAAGAAGGGAGGGCGAGGAGGGAGGTGGCGGCGGCCAGCGCGGCGCCATCGTCGATGCAGCTACCGCCGGCGCCGCCACCGTCTTCATGCGGCGGGGCCGACGCTGCTCCATCCGCCGGAGGGCCAGATCCGGCCACGGTGGCGCCGGATCTGCCGCCTCCGGGGTCTTCGCCGCCACCTTCCACGGGAGAGAGAGAGAGAGAGGGAGAGAGCGGTGACCGGCCACCGGACGACGACGACGACGAGTACAACTGTCGCCTCCGCCCCGGATCTGCCGCTCCGGCCACCAGACGACGACGACTGCCGCCTCCGCCCCGTGCGCTCGATTCGGGGGCGGCGGCGGGAGACGGTGGCGATGGCGGGAGAGAGAGGGAGGCGAGCGGAAGCAGCAGGCGGCGACGAGAGAGAGGGAAGCAGGCGACGGCGAGAGAGAGGGAAGCAGGCGGCGGTGGGAGCGGCGGTGAGAGAGAAGGAAGGAGGCGGCGAGTGGAAGGACGGTTCGGACTTTGGACGGAAAAAGAGAGAGAGAGAGGGGGAGGGAAGAGAGGGGTAGAATAGGAAAGAGAGGAAGATGAGAGAAACGGGCTTTTTTGGGTTGTGATACTCATTGGGCTACCCATATATGACCTGCATGGTAGAGGTGAGTACCTCTAGAGTCCTTCAGTTAGTAGGGGCACCCTAGGAGTGGCTCACATTTGTGATGCCCTTAGGGGAAGGGCCGCACGGAAGGCATATGTCACCGGTGAGCTTGGGAAAGTGATGTAAGGAGGCTTGTCGGTCCCCACTGCCTCCACTCTGGTAAGAGCCATCACTGGCAAGATCCATCGATCGATGCAGCATCTTTTGGAGAGAGAAAAAACAGGAGACAGATAAAGAAGATACACGTGAAATTACCTAACTATCCTTCTTCTTCAGTACCTCTCTATCTTATATAAAATCATATAGACAGTACTACTAGGTACAACTCCTTCTCACCCGTTAGGTCAAATGAAATTGATGGCTCAGATTACACGTACCGGGAAAGGTACCTGCTGGACAGTAAAAATTCTCTTAGGATTATGCAGTGAAGGACAAAGAGACGGTTTAGGATTGCACGTAAAACGAGAAAGCTATTAACACATGATTGGTTAAGTTTTAATTGTTTTAAAATTAAAAATGGATTTATCTAATATCTTGAAACAATTTCTACATAAAAGTTTTCACATGAAATGTACCTTTCTAGCCATTTGGAAAAAGTGCTAACGAAAATCGAGGTAAAATATGTATCTCGATCAGAAATTGCTTGTCTGATTTACTATTGGACTTTATGTAACACCCAGAAAAATTGACCAACAAAATCAAAACTCTAAAAATACGGACCTTCAAAAACTTTTTAAATAAACTGCATCATACCGGATTTATTCGCCTATTTTATTTAGATTTTATTGCGGAGTTCAATTAATCGAGAGTAAGAATAATTAATTAGGAATAAACCACTAGAAAAGAAATTGACAAGTAAATAATTGAAATATAATTTAAAATAAAGATTAGGTGAGGATAGAAATAAGTAAAATAATATCGCGACTGTTTCGATGTCAATTAAATTTAATTACGATGGAATAAGAATTGGCTCTAATTAAAATATAAATATAAATATGGGTGGTAATAATTTTGGATTAACCTTCATCAGGGTTTAGTGCTTAAATTTAGTTAACATGTAACTAAGTAAAAAGTTGAATTTATAGGATTAAAATTGTATAGGGAATAGGGCTAAAATAGGGTTAAATAGGATTTGGCACTGTTTATTGCACAGTAGGTGCTTGATGAGGTTCCCTAGCCATGCCCCCTTCTCTGCCGCGCGCGCCTAGCCGCCCCGAGCCCCGCGCCGCCGTCGCCGTCACGTCTCGTCGCCGCTGCCGTGCCACGCGCCCGTTCGGTCGCCATCGCGTCCCGTCGCTGCTGCCACGCCGCGCGCCGTCGCCATCGTTGCCGCGCCGCCCTAGCCGGCCTCGCGCCCCGAGCCGCCGTCGCCATCCATCGCCGTCGACGTCCCATCGCCGCGCGCCCGCCGCCTCGCGCGCCGTCGCATCGCCGCTCATCGCCCTCGTGCCTACGCCCCACCGCGCGGCCGTCTCGTCGCCGTTGCCCTGCGTCCCTGCCGCGCCGCCCGTCCCATCGCCTCAAGCCCCGCGCACTGCGCCGTCCCATTGCCTGTTTAAGGCCAGCCACCCCTCCCCGCGCCCTATAAAATCCCCCCCGGTCTCCCTTCCACCCCGCACCACCCCACCTCCCTTTACCCCATTTCCCCTCTTCCCCACCGCTGCCGCTACGCCACCACTGCCGCTGCGCCGCCGCCTCTGTGCCACCACGCGGGGTGCCGCGTCGTGCGCCGCACCCCTCTGCCACTGCATCGTCGTCGCCGGTAAGCCGCCCCCCTTCCCTTGTTTGGTCGCCGCCGCCGCCCGGGTAGGCAGAGAGCCGAGGGAGAGGAAGAAGAAGCCGGGAGAGAGAGAAAAAGAGAGAAGAAGAAAAGAAAAGAAAGAAGGAAGGAAAGAAGAGAGAGAAAAAGAGAGAAAAAGAAAGAAAAGAAAATTGAAAAAGAAAAGGAAAAGTAAAAGAGAAATTACGGAGAGATTAAGCAGGTTTAGGAATTTAAAATAAATATAATTTAATTGTAGATTATTTGTAGTCGTAGAATTGCAAAGTTTTATATCATCATAGATTATTTTGGAGATTTTTAGGAGTAATCGGTTCGCGGTAGATATTGGATTTAATTATTAAGAATTGTATTTTTCGTTGAATTTTGAAGAAGATACTTTTAAATCGCAAAATGACTTAGGTTGAATAAGCTTAAAATTGGAATAACGTGGTTTTGCAAACTTTGTAGTCGATATAGATATAGAAAGATCGATTCGCGTTCGACTTTTATTTGAATTTATTTGGATTTTATTTGAATGCTAATTAAATTCAAATCGTTTCTCCGCACGTACTTTTAGACCCCGAGGGAGTTGCGGATCCGAGCGAGGATCAAGACCCGCATGACTACGAGCAAGGCAAGTCATCACTATTCCTTGAACATGTTGATCCCAATTGAGAAATTATTTTGTTTATAAATAAAATTGCATGCAATGATAAACATACTACTTGTGATTATGCCATGCCTTGATTATTGTTTACCCCTTATTCCTTCGTAACCATATTTACGTACGAGTCCCTAGTCAATTATGACAAATGCTTAGAAATGCTATTCTAGAATCATGCATACTTATATTTATCAAATGCTATATGCTTGGGCAATTACCTTTGGAAAGGTAATTGAGATGCGGCATGTGGAGACATGAGCGCCACATTGCCATTATATTGATGACATGATTTGTGAAAGGAAAAATAAAACTAAACAACTGTTTTCGACTGGGGCGGATGGAGGATTTGGGTGGTATCTGGAAAAGGCTAGTGCCGTCCTTGGTCAATTAAGGATCGAGATATGAAGTTAAGCATGAAACGACCCCCGTACAACCGCACTTCTCGTATGGGTATAGACCTAGCGGAGTAGATAGCTGAGCGGAGGCAGTATCCATGCATAGTGGTTTCTCATTGAGTGAAGCAGGTGTGCTACGGTGGGGCAGCCGTTGAGGTAGGGCCACGTGGCGTGCCCTACATCGGTGTCGCCATTGGTAGGACTGCCACGAGTGTTTGAGAGAGAACTTAACTTTAAACCATAACTTAATATGTGTGTGAGACTTCTTCCCTAGGGAGCGCCAGAACTCCTCACACTGCTAGAAACATGGACACCTAGAGTGTACGAGGATGTAAAGTTCATGGAGCGGGTACTGCTAATGCAAGGTTATCGAAAGGCTTTGCCGCAACGCGTCTCATGTGTTGGGACGAGGCTCATGTGTTGGGCAGTCGCGGAGTGCGGGTAAAGTGTACATCCACTGCAGTGTGAGTAAACCAAATCTATTCGAATAGCCGTGCTCGCGGTTATTAAGCACCGGGACGTGTATTACACTTGGCTAGACTCAAAATTCTTAACTTGTGTGGGATGGGATATTGCATGATGATTTTTATGCTGTTGGAGCCACTTCCTGAGAGGAGGGAAGGTGGACGTCCTCAGAAAACCATGACGATTCAATGACGGAAAGCTATCCTTGGGATATGTGCACTTGGTATTTTAGCTATGAACTCGTATGTATCCGACTACTTGATTTAGGGAAATTGTATTATTTACACGATTGATTAGTCTAATAAAAACGGGGGGGTCCACACTTTACCGTTGTATTGTTGCAACTAATTCATTTAAGCAAGCGGCCGGTTGGCTCCACCCGTGGCTATATATAGTCCATTTCCATACGCGGTGCTGCACAATTGTCGTGACCGAGAAAATTGCCTTTTCCCGAACGCTAGTGTATTAATCCCCGTCCCAGGAAAAGCCGGGGTACACCAAACACACATGATACAAAAGGCACATCTTTATTATATCGATAATATATACATTATTACAAAGGCACTTTAAGCCTGACAAACAAAAATAAACAGCAGCGGACTTGCGGGCCTACGGCTCCATCTTCACAGGCGCTCAACTGGGGTATAAGCCAGGACTCCACCTAAGACTTCTTCTCCAAAGCTTCTCTTACTGAACGGGGGAAAAGATTGAGCAAGAATGAGTACAACCACAGTACTCAGCAAGCCACACCGGCAGATGCATGATTAATGCAAGGGGGTATAAGGGGTAATAATATAGGGGTTAAGTTTTGCAGAAAACAGCATTTAAAAGTCACTTAGTTGCCCAAAGCCATTTTATAAAGACGATCCTAGAGTTACACAGTGTTATTAATCAAGGCCGTGAACCCTCACGAACCTGCCTTAACCCAAGGCCTACGATGATTCAGACCGAACTGGCAACCCGACCCTGGGGTCCCAGCTCGTCCCAAGCCAACCCAGGCCAACCATTCCACATTTTAGTTGTTAAGCAAATTTTAAGAATTTAAAACACTAACTTGGGTACATTGCTCGGCTTGCCCATAACCGAGGGCGCGGCTATTCGAATAGATTATACTCTGATCAGAGGTGTACATCTTTACCCACAAGACACATCTTCCTCACGTGTAACCACGTGCCACATACCACCACGGTATACGGACGGAAGACGTGACATAGTTCCCAACCCATCCTAGCCATAAACAAGAGTACCGACCCAACCCCACCTACGGTCGGAACCCCCAGGACAGGCAGGCAGGATTGAGCCCCCTAGCAGCAGGACACCAGCCCTGTGCCATGACATCTCGACTACCGGGCCGCAGCTCGTGTAGCCTTCATTTGTCCTAGAGATGTCCATCGACCCCCGACTTCGTCCATCTCCATCCGTGTACTTTTGTTTATAACCAGACTTAGCTACAAACTAAGCCTTACCCACTAGACATGTGGAAGTACGGTAGTGCTTTGCAACAGAGGCCCGAGCTTAATCCTTATATTGGCCGGGGTGCTACTTCCCACAACTGGCATGCACCCAAACCCCACCGGAAAACAGGTTTTAGGTGTTTTGAAAGAGGAAGAGAGGGGTATGTCCAATTCCACCATAAGCCAACCATTCCATAGTATCCAAGAGATATGAGAATTCCCCAAGTCTAAAGTTATAAAACTACCTAATGTTGTCTAATTAACCAGCGAAGCATCTACCTAAATTCATACCAGTGGTACCAAGAGTAGAGTGTCCACTAGTTGGGGTTTTGTTTAATCTAGGGTGAACAAGGTAATAATATCAATAACAATAATATTAAGGTCATAACAAAGGTAAATAGGCATGGCTAAATAAAACAGTGATAACGCGGGAATTTAAATAAAGCGATAATGCAATAATTTAAATCAAAATAATTTTATAAACTAGGATTCAATATGTTCAAGGATGATGTGACTTGCCTTGCTCAG